TCCACAACGAGCAAGATCCGCCGTGCTAACAACGGTCGCTCTATCGTGCAGCTTCGCGGATTCTTCCTGCAGCGTCATTGGTTTCGGATTTGCAGAACCGTCGGACGAAAGGATCGACTGCAGCCCGAAGCGCAACCAGTTTGCAAACAGATACTCTATTTAGATTGCTAAATCAAAGCGGCCTGCTAATCTGACGCACCGTGCTAAACCGCTAATCTGAAACTACTACCTGCTAGTCCGCAAGGAATAGTCTGCTAAACTCCAACCTAGTTCAAGTGAGTCTGCCGCTGTAATCTGCAACTGGCCACTATGCGCTTGTGGCAGCGAATTTGGGCTTGGCGGGATTTCACCCGAATCCAGAATACAGCAGCGCGGGGAGCTGCGCACTACGCAAGGTGAAGCGGGAAATGGCGGAATGCGGAGAGTGCAACAGGCGGGGAGGAACAGGCGGGGCGGGGTGTAATTGGCGGGGAAGGGGAAAAGTCTGCGAAGATTCGAGATTGTTCTGTACCAGTTTTGTAAGAAAATGCGACGAAAAGGTTTTCCATATTCATCGATTTTGAAGAAGTACAATGAGACTGGCAAAAAACACTACGATTGCGACAAGTTATTGTATCGCGCCAGCTTCAGGCGGGCTCGCTGGTGCATTTTCAAGGTTTCGAAAATCTGGCTCCCAGCAGTTCCCAAGGATGAAAGCCTCTTCGCTCCCCTGATGGGCGAAGTAGAGCAGAGGAGCAGAAATGCTTAGGTTTCCTTCCGATGCTCGAGGCTAGAGCCTTGAAGGGATCCAGGTAATGGGAGACGCGAGCATCAGGTCTCTAGATTTCTAGATCTAGGAACGCATATGGCGTCGGGAGCAGTCGTAGGCCAGTGCGTATATGGCAGATATTGCTTAATATGTAGCGAGTGAGACTTTTAAGGCCTAGGTCATTGTTCAGGAGTGCTTTCCGCCTAGGCTACCCATGATTCGATAGGTTCCGGCTTATTTGAGTTACTTCAGCTTTCTTGGAATCACTTGAGCTGCTTGCGCTGACCCTCGATCGTGGATCGGGGAACGCTCATACAACCTGTTAAAGCCCGAGTCTCATATTTCATCTCAACATATTTTTGTCCTTTTCCAGTTCAGCCTCGCGTCGCGTAGATATAGCTCCACCTTCCGTTCTGCATTAGTTAATCTACTCTCCTTTCGATCGGTTTCCCCTGTGGTACGTCGCGTTAAATCCGTCACTATCATGCATCCGCGGAAGATCCCCCCCTCGCCGTGGGATCCCCATCCCAAGCCGGCCAGATCCGCCAGTCTCACATTCCGCGCGTCTCACGTCCCCCACCCGCGGAGTGCGCCTTCCGCTCCGCCATACCCTTCCGCCTCCCCCTATTCCTCCACTCCCCCGTACCCTTCCGCTCACCCGTACTCTTCCGCTCACCCGTACCATTCCGCTCACCAGTACTCTTCCGCTCCCCCGTACCATTCCGCTTCCCAGTACTCGTCCGCTCCCCCTTACTCTTCCGCTCCGCCATACCCTTCCGCTTCCCCCTACCCCTCCGCCTCCCAGTACCCCACTTCCGCTCCCCCGTATCCCCCCGCGCCTCTACGGCGCGCGTCCTCCTCCCCCCCGCCCGGGCGAAACTTCGTCATCCGGTTCACGTGCGACGATGACGACGACGACGGCGACGGCGATGCCGATGGCGACGGCGACGGCGACGACGAAGGTGACGGTAGTCGCGAGGGCGGTGGTAACCCGAACAGTGGTAATTCGAGCGGTAGACCGTTACCGCCAGTCAGGCGAGCCTCCCCTACCGCGAACTTCTCATCAGGGAACGGTGCATCAGGGGGAGGAGGTGGGGGGATTTCCCCCGCCGGTCCCGCCGGTGCCGTTCCGCCAAGACCTGCGAGCGCGCCGGGATCTTCCGCCAGTCGGACCTTTTTCTCTCTCTCCGCCGCTGCTCAGGGTTCCGCTTCCGCTTCCGCCTCCGCTTCCCCCTCGCCGCTCTCGCTCCCCATTGGCGCAAGCAAGCCCACGGTTTGGACTGCGGGTGCGGCCCAAACTCGCGGAAGACAGGCGGCGGTTGGGGGGGGTCCGCGCGCGGATCCTGCACGAGCAATGGCGCGCTCCCCTCCCCCGGTCCCGCTCCCCCCAGCGGTTGCTGCTGGCGGATCTACCGCTGCTGCGGGTGGCGCAAGCTCTGGCGGAGCGGGGGGGAGCAGTGGGGGAGCATCCACGCAATTTCTGAAGCAAATAGCGCTCATGCGCGAGCAGATCGCGGCGTTTGAGCGCAGGGGGGAAAGCGGGAGTGCGGGGAACTTGGCGGAGGGTGGGGGCGGACAGAGTCCGGGCACGGGGGGGGAATGCGCGGAGGCAAGTAGCGCTGGCGCAAGTGGCGCTGGCAGGAGCAGCGGCGGTAACGCTGGTGGTGCTGGCGCAAGTGGCAGTGCCGCTGGCGCAAGTGGTCTTGGTAGCAGCAAAGGGGAGAGACCTCCCGCGGAACCGAAGCAGTCTGCAGCTGCGGCTGTAGCAGCGCCAGCATCAGCACAACCAGCAGCAAAGACGGCTGTAGCACCGCCAGTGGCAAAGGCTACTGTAGCTGCTCCGGCAGAAGCGCAGCCGACGCTGAAGGTGGCTGTAGCGGCAACACCTGCGGCACCAGCAGCACCAGCAGCACAGCTAGCAGCAAAGGCAGCAGCGGCAGCTGTAGCAGATGCTACTGCTGGCGTTGCTGGTGCAGCAAAACCGGCAGCCGGAGAATCAGCGGGAGTGTCGAAGGAAGGAGTGGTGAAGGAAAGGGCTGGTGCTGTCAGCAATGCTCCGGTTACAAAAGCTGCTGTTGCCTCTTCGACCGTCTCTACCGCTTCTCTCCCTGCCCGTTCCGCTACTCCCCCTCTCGTCCCTGCCCGTTCCGCCGCTCCCCCTCTCGTCCCTCCCCGTTGCGCCACTCCCCCTCTCGTCCCTCCCCGTTGCGCCACTCCCCCTCTCGTCCCTCCCCGTTCCGCCACTCCCCCTCTCGTCCCTCTCCGTTCCGCCACTCCCCCTCTCGTCCCCCCCAATTCCTTCACTCGTCCTATTGTCTTCCCGCGTCCCTTCACTCCGCCTATCAACTCCCCCCGTTCCGCCACTTCCACCCTTATCCCCCCTCCCCCCGTCCCCCCCTCTCTGGCTCGTTCCCGCTCTGCCACTCCTCCCGCGCCTCTCCGCTCTGCCTCTTCCCCTGCTGCAGAGCCAGGCGTACCAGCAGCAGCAGCAGCAGCAGCAGCAGCAGCAGCAGCAGCAGCAGGAGCAGCAGCAGCAGCAGGAGCAGGAGCAGCAGCAGCAGCAGCAGCAGCAGGAGCACCAGCAGCAGCAGCAGCAGTAGCACCATCAGCGGCACCAGCAGCAGCACCTGCACCTGCAGCTGTGACATCTTCGCCTGTGGCACGCCCAGGAGATATCTCAGGTGTTTCTCTGTCAAGGCTGTCAATATCAGCGGCACCTGAGACAATGGGAGCCCCAAAAGAAGCACCTGAACGAGCACCTGGTGCTGCTGAGAAGGCAACAGAAGACGGAGGAGCAGTAGCAGCAGGAGGAGCAGCAGGGAGAGCAGCAGGAGGGCCAGTTATGGCAGCAGCAGCAACAGCAGCAGCAGGAGTAGCAGCGGCATCTGTGGCAGCAGCAGCAGGGGAAGAAGGAGCAGGAGCATCATCAGCAGCAGGGAGGGCATCGGCTGCAGCACCAGTAGCGGCGGCAGCGGGTGCATCTGTGCGCACAGTACAACGGGGCGGCGTCTCTCGTCCTGTAGCGGTTCGAGGCGGCATGGTGCGATGGAAGGGATCAGCAAGGAAGGCAAAGAGGGAGAAGGAGAGGGAAGGGGGGGGAGGAAGCAGTGGTGGGGTGTTGAAGCGGGGATCGAGCTGGAGTGAGCCGATAATGCTCGAAGAGGATGATGATGATGGGGATGATGACGATGTGTGTGTTGTTGCCCGCCCAGCAGTTGTTGCCAAGCCCAAGCTCCCTGAGGTCACGAAGCAGGACGCTGGCGTCAGCGAGCAGCACAGTGACGTCACCAAGCAGCATATTGCATTCGAGAAGACCGGCAGTGACTCTATGGAGTGTGACAATAAGGAGCGCGGTAACCTGGGCCAGGGCAGTGCCGAGCAAGGCAAGGGGCAACTGATCAGCCATGCTGCTGGTGCTGATGCTGCTACGTCTGGAGGTAACATCGCTGGTGCTGACAATGCTGCTGGTGCTGACAATGCTGCTGGTGCTGGCAACGCTGCTGGTGCTGGCAATGCTGCTGGTGCTGATGCTGCTGGTGCTGATGCTGCTGGTGCCAATGCTGCTGGTGCTGCTGCTTCTGGTGCCAATGCTGCTGGTGCTGCTGCTGCTGGTGCCAATGCTGCTGGTGCTGATGCTGCTAGTGCTGATGCTGTTGATAGCACTGCCGGTGACAGTGCCGAAGTTGGTAATGCTGCTGCCGCTAATGCTGGTGGCAGTGCCGCTGGTGCTGATGCTGCTGATCCCAATGCTGGTGCTGCGAATGCTGGTGCTGGCAGTGCTACTGTTGGCGCTACTGATGGTGACTACCACGCGGATCGGGACAGTGGCGAGGACATGGAGATCGACGCCATGGATACCGATGCTGATGCCCTCAGCAGTCAAGCAGTCAGAATCGTGGGGCCGAATGGGGTTGTCAGCAGAGGGGGCGATAGCAACCAAGTTAGCGGTCAAGCAGTCAGAATTGTGGGGGTGAATGGGGTTGTCAGCAGAGGGGGCGATGTCGCAGCAGAAGCACAGTCAGTGATAGCAGAGGCACTTGCAGCCGCAGCCGCAGAAGCAGCAGCAGCAACAGCTGCAGCAGCGGCAGAGGCAGCAGCTGAAGCAACAGCGACGAGAGGCCCAGCAACAGCTGCAGGAGCAGGAGCAGGAACAACAACAGCAGCAGCAGCAGGAACAGAAACAGCAGGAGCAGCAGTGCAGGGGTTGCCTGTTATCGGAGGGCTCTCTAGTGTGTGGCATGGGGCGGGGGGGTTCTCCTTTGGGGGCTGGCTGGATGAAGAGGCAGAAGAGAGAGAGGGGGGGGAGCATGTACCGGGTGTGAGTGTGCGGGTTGGGAGTGTACAGGGTGAGAGGGTTCAGGGTGAGATGGTGCAGAGTGAGCGGGTGCAGGACGAGAGGGTTCGGGGTTTTGTGGGCAGTGGGGCAGATAGGGCTGATCCCAGCCACGTCAGCTGCCCACCACCCGTCTCTGCACCCGTCCAAAGAGATCCACGTAATCCTCCCCCTCATCCCTCCCCTCTCGCTTCTCGCCCCCCTCCGCCACCTCCTCTGCCACGCTCTCCCCCTCTCCCCTCATCTCAACCCCCTCCGCCGTCTGACCCCCCTCCTCCTCCTCCGCCCCCCCCTCCCCCTCCTCCTCCTTCCAACCTCGTGCCCGTGAATGCTCCATCGCTCGATAGCCGTAACATGCCCTGGCTGCTGCACCACACCCACGCCGGCATACCACCTGTATCTCCCCCCTTCTCAACTGTTCCTCTCTCAACTGCCCCCCTCTCAAGCGCCCCCTCCCTGATTCCCCCTCTCTCCCAATCATTGCCCACGCTGCCCCCTCGTTCTGGAGTGGCCTGGCAAGGGGTTTTGCCTGAGCAAATGCTTTTTCACGGGCAGGTGGGGCAGGATGCCTTGGGCGGGCAGGGAGCTTCTAACGGGCAGGTTGGATTGACCAGGGAGGGAATTTTCGGCGGGCAGGTCGGGCAGGGGGATTTGGGAGCTCAGACAGGGCAACAAGGTTTGGGCGGGCAGGTTGGGGTGAGTGGGCGGCAGGTTTTGGAGTTTCTGTGGAGGGAGGAGGAGGAGGTGGAGGCGGCATTAGAGGAGGAGAGGCAGAGGAGGAGGGAGTGTGAGGAGGAGGAAGCGAGGTTGAGGAGAGAGTTGAGGCAGATAGAGAGGCGCCTGGCGCTGTCGAACCAGCGGTGTGCTGTGCTGCAGCATAGGAGAACGCTGATCGCGGGGCGGATTGAGGTGGTGGGGGTTGAGTTGGAGAGTGGAGAAGTGGGTGCGGGTGGGGGGGTGAAGGTGGGTGTGGGGCTGGGTGGTATGGGCCAAGGTGTGGCAGGTGCGATTGCTCCTGCTACGATTGCCCCTCATGCTGCTATCTCTGCTGCTGCGTTTGTCCCTCCTGCTGCGATTCCTGCCGCTGACCCTGTTGCTGCGGGTGCCCTTGCTGCTGCTGCTGCTGCTGCTGCTGCTGGTGGTGCTGCTGCTGCTGGTGGTGCTGTTGCCGCTAGTGCCCCGGCTGCAGCTGCTTCTGAGGTCAGGGGTTTGAGAGTGAAGAGGGAGAGGGAGGAGAGGGGTGAAGGGGAGGATGTGAGGAGGGTGGTTAGAAGAGAGGAGGGCTATGGAAGGGAGGGAGAGCAGGAGAGTGCTGCTAGAGTAGCAACGGCTGGTGCTGTTGCTGCAACTGGTTCTGCTGCTGCTACAACTGGTCCTGGTGCTGCTACAGCTGGTGGGCCTCTTACAATAGGCAGCCCTAACAGGGCAGCTACAGCAGGTGCGTCTGCTACAGTTGCTGCTGCTGCTACAGCTGCCGCTGCTGCTGCTGTGGTTGCTGCCACTTCAAGCGGTCCTGCTGCAGCAGCTGGCAATGTCGGGGAAGCTGAGGCGTTAAGGCGAGCAGAGATGATCCGGCAGAGGCCCGTTATTGAGTCTGCTACTAAAGGGGATGATGCTGAAGTGATGCACAGGGCCCAGGTGTTAAGACAGAGGCTTGTGTCTGAGTATGCTCGGAAGAACGCTCAGCTGGCGAAGCAGGGATCCTCGAAACGGCAGAAGGCTGATAGCGGGTCTGCTAGTAAAGAGGATGCTGAAGCGATTGCCAGAGAAGGGGTGGTAGGAGAGAGGGTGGGATGTGAGTCTGCTGCTCCTGGAGATGCTGCCGCGGACAGGCAGGTAGGGGAGAGGATTGCTGCTACTGATGCTTCCAGTGCAGCTCTACCTGCTGCTGCTGCTGCTGCTGCTGCTGCTAAAGGCGCTGCTGCCGCTGCATCTACCACTGGTGCTGCGTCTGCTACTGCTGCTACAACCGGTGCTGTCATTAGAGGTACTGGCGGCGCTGCTACAACCGGTGCTGTCATTAGAGGTACTGGCGGCGCTGCTACTATAGCTCCAGGTAATGCTACTGCTGATCCAGCTACAGCTACAGCTGCAGGTGCAGCTACAGCTACAGCTGCAGGTGCAGGTGGCAGTGCGAGTGACGATGCTGCAGAAGTGATGAGGCGCGCTCAGGTGATCCGACAGAGGCTGCTGGCGCAGCTGGCAGCGAAGGGAGGGAGTGGGACTGGGAGCGAAGGAATCGGGGCAGGTAGAGGAGGGCCTGGGGCAGGGAGAGGAGGTGTTGGGGCAGGGAGAGGGAAGGAGATAGCTGTTGCTGCCTCTGGTGGTGCTGGTGGTGGTTTTGTTGGTGGTGCGGGCTGTGCTTTTGTTCCTGCCGCTCCTGCCCCTCCTGCCACTCCTCCCGCTCCTGCCACGACTGCCACTCCCACCACCGCTGCAGGTGTTGGTGGTGGTGGTTGTGCTGGCAGTGCGAGGAGAGCAAGGGAGGGGATGGGAGGAGGGGATGGGGGCAGTCTGGGTAGCACGGTCGGCAAGGACGCAAGGGATGGCAGGGGCAGGGGTGATGGGAAAGGGAAGGATGGCGGTGGGAGGGACAGGAGGGCTGAGAGGGATCGAAGGGATGGGAGGGATGAGAGGGACGTGAGGGGCGGGAGGGACGGGAGGGACGGGAGGGCTGAGAGGGATCAAAGGGATGAGAGGGCTGGTAGTGACGGGAGGGACACACGGGAGGTGCAGGGTGGGAGGGACGGGAGGGACGGAAGGGATGAGAGGGATCGAAGGGATGGGGGGGCTGGTAGAGACGGGAGGGACGAGAGGGATGTGCAGGGTGGGAGGGACGAGAGAGACGGGAGGGACAGCAGGGATGTGCAAGGTGGGAGGGATGAGAGGGTGCGAGAGGAAAGGCTCCAGGTTTTAATTCAGGTGAAGCTGGAGGCATCTGAGGGGGCACCTGAGAAAGCACCTGTTAGGGTTGTGAAGTCTGTTGCTAAAGGCGTGAGGCCAGTTCCAGGAGTTGGGAGGGAGGTGGCGGGGAGGGAACCTGCAAATGCAGCGGTGGCAGGAGGAAGGGGAGAAAGGACAGCGGTTGAGACACCAGAAGCAGCAGTGACAGCATCGACACTTGCAGCAGCACCAGCGCCGCCAGCAGCATCACCAGCACTACCAGTAGCAGCACCAGTATCAGCACCAGCGGCAGCACCAGTAGCACCAACAACAGCGCCAACAGCAGCAGCAGGGCAGGCGGTAGCAGGGGGGGGTGCTGTTGTTGCAAGCAGGGCGGCAGGAGGAAGAGAGGCAGGTGATGCGAGCAGGGCGGCAGGAGGAAGAGAGGCAGGTGATGCGAGCAGGGCGGCAGGAGTCCAGGGGAGAGCAGAGGAGAAGCAGGGGAAGGAGCCAAAGGCGCTGCAAAAGCAGCACCGGAACGAGTCGCCAAGGAGAGAAAGGGAGGGTGCATGGGGGGATGATGCAAGGGAGATAGCAAACGAGGGCGAGGAGATGGAGACGCAGGAGAAGAGGCAGGAGGGAGAGACGCAGGGAGGGGAGACGCAGGGAGGGGAGACGCAGGGAGGGGAACGGCAGGGAGGGGAGCAGCAGGGAGGGGAGCGGCAGGGAGGGGAGCAGCAGGGAGGGGAGCGGGTAAAAGCAGCGGTTGGACAGAAGCGGGTGGGTGAGATTGGCGATGCTGACTTGAGGCAGGGGAAGAGGCAACGAAGTGAGGAGCAGGAGAGGGAGAGGGAGGCGAGGGGAAGAATAGAGGAGGGTAGGAGGAACGAGGTAAGGGAGGAGGGCGAGTTGAGGGGGGTTGAGACTGGGGCTGCTGACTCGGGGCAGGGGAAGAGGCAACGAAGTGAGGAGCAGAACAGGGAGAGAGAGGCGAGAGGAAGGGCGGAGGAGGATAGGAGGAGGAAAGACGAGGACAGGGCGAGAGAGGCGAGGGGAAGGAGAGAGGAGAGTAGGAGGAAAGAGGTAGAGGAGGGGAAGGTGAGGGAGGCGAAGGGGAAGGAAAGAGAGCCCAAGGGGAATGAGGGGGCTGCAGTGAGGAAGGAGTGGGGCTCGGAGGGGGGCGAGGGTGGAGCAAGAGTGATAGGGGAAGGATCGCGAGTGAGAGTGAGAACAGTGTTGAAGACAGGCGGAGCAGAGAGGAGCCTGGACGAGTATGAGAGCCCGTTGACTGTGTTCCGCTGCTACCGGCACTCGCCTGTGTTTATGGCGCGGTGGGGTGCGGTGGAGGGGAGTGAGGGGCGTGAGGAGCAGCAGGGGCAGGAGCAGCAGCAGCAGCACGAGGAGCAGGGGCAAGGGCACCGGCAAGAGCAGCAGCAGGGGAAGAAGAATAAGCAGCAGCCACTGCCGCAGCAGCAGCAGCAGCAGCAGCAGCAGCAAGGGCCTTCCTCCCATCCCCCCTCTGCTCACCTCTCCTCCAAGGCCTTACGGCTCCACGAGGGATCGATCGATCCCCACCGTCCAATCTGCACAGCTCAGCTGCGCGGCCAATGCGCGGACGCCAGGTGTCGCCTGCAGCACCTGCTGCCCCACCCTGTGCGATCTGCTGACGTCATCAGGGTGGTGAGGGATGAAGCTCAGAGGCTTGCTGATTTCGTGCAGGCAGAGGCGGCAGCAGAGGGGGCGGCAGAGGGGGCGGCAAAGGGGGCGGCAGAGGGGGCGGCAAAGGGGGCGGCAGAGGGGGCGGCAAAGGGGCGGCAGAGGGGTCGGCAAAGGGGGCGGCAGAGGGGGCGGCAAAAGCAGCAGAGGCGAGAATAGGAGCAGATTCGTTAGAAGCCGACCCGATAAAAGCAGAGCACTCTGTTGCGTCACTCCTCCAATCCTTGACCTTAAAGCCCCATCTTCAGCCTCACCATTTCCCCCCTGTGCTGTCTAAGAAACGCCAACCACCCCAATCCCCTACCTTCCCGCACTACCTCCTCCCCGTTCCTTTCCTTAAAGCCACGTGGCTTTTCCACAGTCATCTCAAGTACACCCCAATCTGCCCGGGAACTGTTCTTGGCGAATCAGGGAACGCCGGGAAGATGCCCAGGGGGGCACGAAAAGTTTTGGCGGAGGTTTTGGGTTCGGCAGCTGAAGTGGCTGCTGCTTCGGCTGCTGCTGCCAGGAGCGGGGGAATGGGGGGAAGATGGGGAGGGGGCAGAGGGGCAGGAGGGGCAGGATGCAGAGGAGGAAGAGTAGAGGGAGGGGGAAGGGGTGAGTGGGAAGCAACAGGGAGAGGAGAGAGTGGGGAGAAAAGTGGTAAGGAGGAGGGGAGGAGCGGAGGGGAGAAGGGTAATGTGTGGGAGAGAGTGAGTGTGGGGGAGAGGGTTATGGAGAGGGGGGGTGGGGAGGGGAGGGGTAGTGTTTGGGGAAGGGTTAAAGGGGCGGACATGATGCCCGGGGAAAGGAGAGCACGTGGTGGCGGGGGGAGAGGTACTGTGTGGGAGAGGGTGCGTGAGGGAGGGAGGGGGAATGAGGGGGAGAGGGTCAGTGTGTGGGATAGAGTGTATGGGACAGAGAGGGTGAGTGGAGGGAAGGGGGGTAATGGGAGCGAGAGGGCTGACAGGGGGGAGGGGGGAAAAGAGGGAGAGAGGGTTAGTAGGGGAGAGAGAACTAGTGTGCGGGAGAGGGTGAGCGCAGGAGAGGGGATATTTGGGAAGAAGAGAGTTGATAGAGGGGAGAGAGTGAGTGGTGAGAACGTGGCTGGGGTTGAGGGAAGTAGTGGGAGACCATGTGGGGAGGAGGGTGTGAGGGAGTGTGAGGGAGTGAGAGAGGAAGAGAGGTTACAGTTACAGCTGCCGCTCTTCCTGCTGCTTCCAGGCACAGTGGACTTCTGGGGTGGGGAGAGCTGCCCTGCGATTGGTGGAAATTGCCACGAGGAGCAAGGCTATTGGTCGAGGAAACGGAGGGAATGGGAGAAGAGGGAGCAGGTGAAGGGGGAGGGGGAGGGGAAGGGGAAGGCTGAGGGGGTGGGTGCGAGAGACACTAAGGAGGACCAGGGAAGGAAGGTAGAGGAAAAAGGGCAGGGGGAGGACGAGGGGAAGCATGAGAAGAAGAGGATGAGAGAAGAAGAAGAGCCATCCATCTCTCCCGAGGGGGTCTCCTCCATCGCCCCCTCTCTCTCCCCTCCATCTCACTCTGACTTGGCGCTTCTCTTTGCCTTTAAACAGCTGCCCCCGCTGCCCCTGCCCGGCCAGATCATGCCTCTCATAAACCTGAACCCGTCTTCCAAGGGGATGGGGCGCTTCCTCTCTGCTGCTGCCGGCCCTGAGCCTACTGCTGCTACTGTTGAAATGGTGAGTCGTTTTTCCCCCTCCCCAGCTGCCCCAGCTGCCCCAGCTGCCCCCGCTGCCCCCGCTGCCCCTACCCGGCCAGACCATGCCTGTCATAAACCTGAACCCGTCTTCCAAGGGAAGGGAATGGGACGCTTCCTCACTGCTGCTGCTCGCCCTGAGCCCACTGCTGCTACCGTCGAAACAGTGAGCCGCCATTTTCCCGCTGCTATCGCTGAGACGGTGAGTCACTATTCTCCTCTGCACGCCTGCTGCTCCTTTCCCCTTCCCTCCAGGTCCACGCCTCTCTCGCCTAAACCTGCGCCACCAGCCCAGCAGCAGCACGTGCCACGCTCACCTGTGTCTCTTCCCCACTCTCACTCCCAAATCCCTCCCTCCCATCCGTCTCCCCCCCCCCCCCCCGCCCCCACCCGTCCTTCCCATCAGGTCCTTGCGCCCCTCCCCTATTTCCTACACCCCCAGCCCAGCAGCCACAGCACGTGGCACTCCTACCTGTGTTTCTTCTCCCTCCTCTCCTCCCAATTCCCTCCCTCCAACCCCTCTCCTCTTCCCCCCACCTAACCCCTCCTTGCTTTCAGGACCTTGCCTCGCTCGCCTATTTCCGACACCATCAGCCCAGCAGCAGCACCACATGGCACGCCTACGTGTGTCTCTTCTCTCTCCCCCAAGCCCCTCCTCTCCCCTTCTCCCCCGCTTCTCCCTCCCAACCCCCCCCCCCTCCTTCGTTCCGCTCAGGTTCTCGCTTCTCTCGCCTATTTCCTACACCATCAGCCCAGCAGCAGCACCACGTGGCACGCCTACCTGAGCCTCTTCTCCCTCCTCTCCTCCCTCATTCACCTGCCGTGGCTCTACTTCCGAATGGCGAGGCTCCGAAGGGAGTTCGAGCTCAAGGAACAGATTCTGGCGCTTGTGCAATGCTGTGTGAGTGTGTGAATTGTGTGCGTGCCCTTTTTGTGTTTGCGTTTATTGGGTGAAAAGAGGAGTGAGTGAGTGAGTGAGTGAGTGTGTGGCCTAGTCACTGCCGCACCTGTCTTGGCTCTAGTTTTGACGGGTGAGGCTCAGAAGGAGAGTCCGGACTCAAGGAACAAATACCACTTCGCTCAAGGCGAGTCTGAGTCTGTCACTACCCCATTCACAGTCACTTCTCATCCCCGTTTTTCTTCTTCTCCATTTTTTTAGGCGCCTCGAAGCCTCAAAAATAGACCGACTCCTCACAACCGCCTCTTATCCCCCTTTTTCTCCTTCTCTGTCGGTTCTATCGACTTCCCTTCGCTCCCTTCCCCCCTTTCCTTTCCACAGTCACTTTATCTTCCCAGCTGGCATCAGTTGCAGTGGCACAAGGCTTTGGCTCAAACAACGTCTGCTGCAGCAGCTAACACCTGGATGAACACACTCCTCCTCCTCTCTCACTGCCCCACCTTCCCCCCACCCACCCCCTCCCCCTCAATTCCCTCCCCACCACGCTCCACCTCCTCCTCCCGCCCCTTCCCCACCTCTCCTTCTCCTGCTCCTCCTCCGTCTCCTCCCCTCCCTCCTCCCCCTCTCCTCCTCCTCGTCCCCCTTGGCTCCGACGCTGCTGCCGAAATGCAGGAGAAAGGAGCTGCTTTAGACTCAATTAACCCCCACCTGCGCTCCTCCCTAGGCCTATCAAACCCCAACATGCCCCCACAGGCACCAGGCGTCTCCCTATCCTCTTCCCCGCAGGGCGTCTCTCTTTCTGCTCTGCTCTCCCACCTGCCCCCTCCCCTGTCCACCCCGCCTGTGTTGGCCCCAGCCAGCGCCAATCAACGCAGTGCTGAGGCGCTTGACTGCGCCCTGCAGATGCTTAGGGTGTGGGGAGAAGGGGGGGAGGGGAGGAAGGTGTGGGAATGGGTGGGGATGGTGGTGAGTGCGGTGGATAAGCGTGGGGAAGGGAGCGGAGGATCTGAGGGAAGGGGAGAGGGAGAGGGAGAGGGAGGAGGGGAGGAGGAAGGGGAAATGGGAGAGGACGAGAGGGGGATAGACAGGGCAGCAGCAGCAGCAGCAGCAGCAGCAGCAGCAGCAGCAGCAGCAGGGGCAGGGGTAGGGGTAGGGGCAGGGGCAGGAAATGCGAGTGGAGAAGCAGCAGCAGCATGGTCAGCATTTTCATCACCAGCAGCAGCAGCAGCAGCAGCAGCAGCAGCAGCAGCAGATGCAGCAGATGCAGCAACAGCAAGGGCAGCAGCAGAGGCGCTACTATCCTGCCTCACGCCACTTGATGCTTCCGTCTTTTTCCTTGCTGCCGCCCACCTTCTCCACGCCGGCCGCTTTCCTGACACTGTAGCAGCCAAAATCGGGTCTAGACAGGATTTGATTCCGCTGGTGGATTTGCCCTGGGCGGCAACGCGTCAGCATGGGGGGGAGGCGCCACCTGAGGGAGAGAGTATGGTTGGGGCTGTGTTAGAAGCTGCTAGGAAGTTTCTCCAGCTGAAAGCAAGAGAAGGGGCGGAGGGGAGACAGAGAGGAGAGAAGGAAAGAGAGGAGCAAGAGGAAGGAGGGGGAAATTGGAGAGAGGAAACTAAGAGAGGGGGAGAGAAGGATGGGCTGCTACTGGCACGTGTGATTGTGGCTATCTCCTTCGTGAGATATGCTGCCTGCAACAGTCAGCCAGGTGCTGCTTCAGGCGTTTCTCCAGGTGCTGCTTCAGGTGCTGCTTCAGGTGCTGATGTTCCTGCGGCTCCAGCATCTCCTCTACAGTCTGCTTCGTTATCCTCTTCTGCATACCCAGCCACTGCACAAGCTGTAGATGACGTTTTAAAAGAGCTATTATGGGAAGAAGGCCAGGATACAAGGGAGCTTAAGAAGGATAAGGAGCGTTTAACGAGAGATGCTTATAAGGAGTACGACCTGCTGGTTGAGCTGGTGATAGTGTGTGTGTGGGCGCTGGCGGAAACAGGGGGGGGAGAGGGAGTGAGGGAGGGTGTGCGAGTGTGGGAACGAGCAGAGAAGGTGCTTTTTGGTGGGGGAGGGGAGGAGGGAAGGAAGGAGGGAGGAGGGGAGGAGGGAGAGGGAGGGGAGCCGGGGGAAGGGGATGAGAGAGAGAGAAGGGGAGGACGAGGGAAGGGGAGGGGTGGAAAGAGGGCGAAAGGGCAAGGAAGAGGGAGGGGGAGGGGGAGGAAATCAAGAGCAGCATTGGAAGCAGAAGCAGATGCGACAGCAGCAGCAGCGGAAGCAGAAGCAGCAGAGGCAGCAGCGGCGGCAGCAGCTGTAGCAGCAGCGAAGGCACCCGCTTATTGCCGGTTCACCTACCTCCGTGCTCTATTCTCCCTCCAGTTCTCCCATCGGCAACAACCCAACCAAGGAGCAACCCAGCTAGGCAAAGAACCTTCCAGCCAGCAGCGGCAGCAGGGGAGCACGGTTGGAGGGGAGGAGGGGATGGAGGCGGGAGAAGTGGCTGAAGGAAACGCAGCGGTGCAGTGCGGTGCTGAGGCTGCTGAAGAGATGATGCAGGGTGAGGCCTTACTACCCCCTGTGCCCTGTGATGCTCTGTCTCTGTTGGACTCTTTTCTGCTGCAAAGTGCTGCTGCTGTCGGAACACCCGCAGCAGTCAACGCAGCAACAGCAGTTGGGCCACCACAGTCATCACCACCCTCTCAGCCAGTGCCAGGTGTCAGCATGTCACTGGAGCAGGCGTTGCAGCAGCATCTCACGACAGAAGAAGCACTCAAAGCAGAACCGGTCAAAGCAGAGTCACCCGAACAGGGGATGGGCAATGCCGGTGTTGCTGGTGTTGCTGGTGTTGCTGGTGTTGCCGGTGTTGCTGGTGTTGCTGGTGTTGCTGGTGTTGCTGTGTACGGCCTCTTGTGTCTCTCCCTGCGCTCTCTCCTCCGTTTCAAGAAACGCGCAGATTCTGCCACTGACGGAGATGCGGGTGCAGGTGGTGCTGGTGCTGGTGGTGCTGCTGGTGCTGATGGTGCTGCTGGTGCTAATGGTGCAGGTGCAGGTGGTGCTGCTGGTGCTAATGGTGCAGGTGCAGGTGGTGCGGTGGCTGCTGCTGGTGCTGATGGTGCGGTTTGCGCTGATGTGGACAGAGGCGCTGCTGAGCTGGCAGCAGCAGCAGCGGGTGCAGCAGTGAGGGAAGCAGTGAGGAATGGGAATGATAGGTATTTACACGTGAGGGACGCTGTAAGGTGGGCTCTGGCTCTTGCTGCTGCCAGAAAAAGTGATGCTGCTATCGGTGCTGATGCTGCTGTCGGTGCTGCTCTTGCTGCAGCTGATACCCTCTCCATCCCCTCCCTCCTCTGGGCTCAATCACACTCCCTCCTCCACCACCTCCTCCCTCCCCTCCGTCCCCTCTTCCCCCCCCCTCCTCCTCCTCCTCCTCCTCCCCCACCCATCACACACCATCACCTAGCCACCTCCCCTCCCCCTCGCCTCCTCTCACTTCGGAGCTTTCTCCCCGAGTGCAGCACGTCCTGTCCACCCTCCTCGGCCCTCCCAATTGCGACTACTCTCTTCTCAACGCGTGTCTTGGCATCGGCTCTGCTCCGTCCGTCTCCCCTCGCGCTGCTCTATCAACCCTGACCCTGCCTCCTATTGCTGCTGCTGCTTCCCCTCCTGCTGTTCCTCATGCTGTTCCTGCTCCTGCCCCTGCTGCTGCTGCTGCTGCTGCTGCTGTGGCCTCTAGTGCTCCGACTCTTACTCCATCTCTTACTCCTCTCACTCCTGAAGAGGTTCGGCAGCTGGAACAGGTTCGGCAAGCCCTGGACCTTTTGCCTCGGAACGTGCCTCTTGCCCAAGCCTACTTCCACCTCCTGTTCTGCAACAACCTTCCGAACGTGCTCCGAGCCGCAGCAGGTGCAGCAGCCGCAGCCGCGGAAGCTGCTTCGAATATGAAGCCAAAAAGGAAGTCCGGAGAAGCATGTAACCAGCATGTAACACTGCCTCCTACCATCAACCCCTCTCAGCTAACCCATGCGGTTACCGTGTTACTGACAGCGTTGCAGCAGGGGGGAGGGGGCGCAGGGGCAGCAGGGGGGTTGAGCTCGGCACATCCTGCCTGGGAAGCGGAATGGACGGTGCTGATCGACGTTGTAGATGTGATCATGGCGAATCGGACGGCTGCAGAATCTCTGGCTCGCGTGGCTGTGGCTGTGCATCCACTGTCGAAGAAGCTGCAGGAGAGAGAGGTGGGACGTGGGGGGTGGGTGATGGGGGGAGTCGGGTGCGCTGTGGCTGATTGGTTGTGGGATGGGAATGGGTGGTGGGGGGTTTGGGGCTCTTTGGCACCCTTCCCAAGTGGCTGTGGGTGGGCTGTGGGTGATAGCTGTGGCTGTGCATCCGATGCAAAGAAAATGCAGGAGAGAGAGGTGGGCCGTGGGGGTTGGGTGTTGTTGATACGGGTTCACTGTGCATGGCAGGGTGTGGGTGAGGATAGGTGGTGGGGCGTGTCTCTGTAGCTGGGCATCGAGAAACTGCAGGAGAGGCAGGTGCACTGTGGGTGGGTTGTAGGGGATGGGTGGTGGGGGTTTGTCGTGCGGGACTGTGGGGCTTTGACTCCAAGAGCTGTGGCTGTGCATCCACTGTCAAGCATCGGTGCGAGAGAGAGGTGGAAGATGGATGGGGGGAGGAGATGGGAGATGGAGTGTCTGGGGACGGGGGGTGGAGTCTGATGGGAGTATGGATGCGGCATGGCTGCTTTCTTGCTGCTTTCCCCATTGCGCTGCTGAGAGGAGAGAGGGAGTGTGTGTGTGCGTGTGTGTTTGTATGCAGCACTTGTGCCTTTGGCTCAACTCTAAAGTCACCTCTGGTTGTTGAGAGGAGTGTGCATGTATGCAGCCTTTGAGATGCGTACAGCCCGTAACTGACCTAGGTGTCTCTGTGCGTGTGACTTATGAGGCGACTCAGAAGCTATCGCTGCTTGCAGCTTCTAACTGTGCTTGTGTGTCTGCGTGTGTATGTGTGGTGCATGTGATTGTGGGGGGAAGAGGCAGGGGGGTGGGTGGCTGTCTGTACGGATTTTGGGGGTGGGGAGGGGAGGAGGGGGGTTGTCAGTGGAGAGGGGGGGTGGGGTGCTTGTGTTGGTGTTTGTGCTTGTGACTGAGTTGCATGTGTGCGTGAGCGAGTGCGTATTTGCGCATGCATACTGCGAGAATGGAAATGAAGCGCTGGGGAGCGCTGCCTCGCAACGCACTCTACCATCATGTTTGCGCATGCATGCTGCGAGAATGCAAATGCTCATGTGTTGCGCATGCTTATGGGTGAAAGCACTTGGCGAGTTGCGCGTGTGTGTGTGTGCGCGAGCGCGCGTGTGTGTGCGCGCGCGCGTGTGTGTGCGCGCGCGCGTGTGTGCGCGTGCGTGTGTGTGCATGCATGTGGCCCTGTGTGTGTCCGTGTGTTTCAGGCCAAGCTAAACCCCAAAGCAAAGCAGAAGAAAGACAAGGCCCTACTCCATGCTGCCAACCGGCAAGGGTGAGCAGCTCCTTCAGGGGATAAGCAAGCAGCCCAAAGCCCGAGTTGCCGAGGGAGACGGCGTAGGATGGAAGGGTAAGCACCGAATGCGGTAAGTAATATGAGGGTTTCTCGAGTCGATTGAGTTTCTTAAGTCGACTGAGTCGATAATTTAGGCCAGATCAGGCATGGGTAATGAGTGTGGGGTGAATAGAGAGACGTTCAGATGGGGAGTAGAGAGCAGGAGAGGGGAGAGTGAGTGCGGTGTGGTGTGATGTGTGACAAGAGGTCAGCAGATTCCAGCCCTTCCCTCTGCTTAGGCTACTCATCCTTCAAGCTTTCCGTTTCTTTGTTTTAGGCGCCTCAAAAATAGATTCCAGCCCTTCCCTCTGCTCAGGCTACTCATCCTTCAAGCTTTCCGTTTCTGCATGACCCATATAAGAGGTAGATCGGTAGGTTTGAGTCCACTCAAGAGTCCTCATTCTCTGCTCTCCAGCCCCCCTGTTTTCTCGTGACTGGTATAAACGCGGGATGAAGGTTGAGAGGTGGTGGCTGGAAGGGGAATGGACGGATGGATGGACGGATGGATGGATGGATGGACGGACGGACGGACGGATGGATGGATGGATGGAGAGAAAGGAATGCGGAGAGGGTGTGAGAGAGGGCGGGCGCATGATAGAAAAGATTCTATGTGAGGGAGAGAGTGAGGATAGAGTGTGAGAGAGGGCGGGCACATGAGAAGGGATTTTGTGTGAGGGAGATGGTGAGGAAAGAGTGAGAGAGCATGGGGGAGGGGCGGAGGGAGGGAGGCAGTGGGATGGAGGGATCTAATCGTCTAACTATCTTGCAGGGTTGGCTGGGAGTGAAGCTGCCAGGAGGAGTAGCAGTCGCAGCAGCACCGTCACAACCAGCAGCACCAGCTGTAGTAGCAGCAGCTGTAGGGGCAGCAGCAGGAGCAGGAGCAGCAGCAGCAGCAAGCTGGATTTCAAGAATGTGTTTTTCGGTGCCTAGTATTGTACCCTTAATCCATTCAAGCCTCTAATGTGCCTTCTTTGTGTCCGTTTTCATACCATCTCTGAGCGGATGTATGAAGCTGTGCTGCATGATTGATTACCTCAATGGTTTTACTCCAACACAAATTTACTGAAAGCGTCAAATAAGTACAAATTGCTGTCCCCCTCTGCTGCAACAGGAGGGAAGCAAATGCCAGACACTTGAGAGTAGCAAGAATGAGAGCTGGACACAGCAATATAAACAAATGGGGCAGGAAAAGCTACTGCACCGTCTACTGATGTAGCCACAACTGTAGCCATCTGCTGTAGCCACAGCCATAGCAGCTGTTTAGCCACAGCTGTAGCAACAGCTGTAGCCACTGCTGCCACTAGAGCAGCTATTAGAGCAGCTATTGATGGTGCGAGCATACCCTGGTGTCGCTGCCGCAGCAGCACAAGCTCCTTGTGCTCTTGCTATACACAATTTGGCTCTAAGCCGTCGCAACCGTCGCCGGCTGCTGCTGCTGCTGCTGCTGCTGCTGCAGCAGGGTACCAAAGAATCCACCCCTAAACCCCGGAAACAAACGGCGTCTCCCAGCGGGAGAGGCGGGTGGGGAGGCGGCGGGAGACGATGCAGCAGAGGAAGAGGAGGATGAGGAGGCAGAGGAGGCAGAGGAGTAGGCAGGGAAGTCAAGGGTGAGTGCCACGTCAGCTTGTGATGAGCCTGATCTGGCGCGTGCTGCTGATGTGTTGAAATGGGATTGGAGGAGGTGAGAGAGCCTGGAAGCGGCTTCAGCTGCCTCTGCTTCCGCAAACTCCTGCAGAGGCCGGGTCGGGGGAGGTCAGTGGGAGTCAATGGGGGGGGGGGGGGGGGGAGAAGGAGGGGGAGGAGGAGGAGAGGATTAGCTGCATACGACTCGGCTCCAATGCTGTCCAGCCCACGCTCAGAAACTAACAGTAATCATCGTGGATGGCAAAGGGAGCGCGGCTCAAATCCCACGCTAAGCCCTCAGCACCACCACCACCAACACCACCACACCCCAGCACCCCAGCACCCCAGCACCCCAGCACCACACCCACCACCACCACCACATCCATGACCCCACCTGGCGGTATCTCTCGTGGATGGCGGCCAGCGCGCGCACGAGGATGAAGCACGGCAGCAGAATGCCCAGCAGCTGCATCAGAAACATCTGCGCGTGCAAGAGCGGTTGGGGTGGGTTGAGAGGGGTTGGGGGGCGGGGTGGGGGGTGAGGGGAGAGGAAATATGGGAGTGTGGTGAGTCGGAGGATGAGGCACGGCAGCAGAATGCCCAGCAGCTGCATCAGAAACATCTGCGGCCGTGGGCACGGGAGGGTGGGGGACGGGAGGAGCGGGGGGAAGGTAAGTATGGAAGGGTGACAGTGAATACAGCGAATGGAAGGGTGACAGCGAGTACAGCGAATCGAGCACGAGGTGACTTTAGAGTCGACTCAAAAGAGAGGAGGGGGGGGGAGGGGGGCAGGTAAGCATGGAAGGGTGGCAGCGAGTATGGCGGATTGAGCACGGCAGCAGAATGCCGAGCAGCGGCATTAGGAGCTTCTGCGAGCGCGCAAGAGGTGGGGGGAGTGGGGGGGGGAAGAGGGGGCGGAAGAAGACTTGTTAAAGTGAGAAAGAAGGGGGGGGGGGGGGGGAGGGGGGGGAAGTGAGGAGCTTAGCGCCTCCCAGCATACTGTAAATTCCGCCGAGTCTTCTTCCACGTCATTGTCGTTGCTGTTGGCCTCAAGCAATTGGGCTAGGGGACAACAGACCACACAGAGCCATACCGTGCCGGACCAGACCCTACTGGTTGAGAGGACGTACCGTGAATTCCGCCGAGTCGTCGTCCACGTCATCGTCGTCCCCGTTAACCTCGAGCAAAAGCGCGAAGAAATGGCGGGCGAAAATGAGCACGAGAACCTGGGAGCGGGGCATGGGGCATGGGGCATGGGGCATGGGGCATGGGGGAATGTTAGGGAACCGGCTTTTGAGTCGTAGGTGACTTTTGAGTCGTAGGTGACTTTTGAGTCGTAGGTGACTTTTGAGTCGACTCAAAAGCGGGACATGGGGCATGGGGGAATGTTACGGAGTCGGCTCAAAAATCGTCTCAAGCACCAGCAGGAAGAACTGGCGGGCGCACGCACCGTGCATCGCTCGCACTTGATGTACAGCACAGGGATATATCATATAGTCCTACGGACTCTGGTGACCACGGGGCGAGTCCAAGGGAGATGACCAACCATTGAAAACACAGTCTAAACTGACGATGAATAAACTCACGAGAATAATAAGCGACTTTATGCAGCTGACGGAGGCCGGCTCCGGGATTTCCGGCGCGACTGGCGTCGCGGCGAGGTCCTCGAGGCCGAAGCGCAGCTCCTCCCCGGTGACCGCGTCGCGGAACGTGACGATGTGGCTCAGCTGCCCCGCGCCGTCGCGGAACTGCAGCGCTACGAGGCCCGGCGTGATTGGCGGAGAGGGCGGGGGCGGCGGCGCGGTGTAGCCCTCTCTGAACGGCTGGCGCGGGGGCAAGATGGGGCGGGATGGGGGGGGGGGAGCGGCGCAGTATGATGGGGGGGAAGGCGGGGGAGGGGGGAGGGGAGGGGAGGGGTGGGTGTGGAGGGGGTATAGTGATGGGCGGGGGGGCGGAAAGATGGGGGGGCCGGAATGATGGGGGGGGGGGGGGGGGGGGGAGCGGAATCAGGGCATGAGACTGGATACTTCAGCAGGCGCATAGTTTGCAGTCTCGGCAGCATGAGCAACATGGCAGGCTACGGCAAAGTAGAATGCACTAAAGCGTACCGAACCACAATGAGAAATGACTAATGCCTTTGGAGTGAAGACTTACATGATGGCAAATCTCGCACTGCGTGTTTCCCTTCTCGTTACACCACCTCTGGATGCAATCGTGATGCGCATACTGCAGTGACACAATAACGAGGACAAGGGCATCCACGGCACATCAGATGAGAGCCCATATAACAGATCACACTCTGAAGCTGTAAAACAGCGGCGAATAATACAGAAGCCCAATGAAATCTCGCAGGTACTGGCAAGAAACCCAGAAAGTCAAAGAAAGAAGAGCGACAGGCAAATGACGCAAAAAAGGACACAACGATAAGCAAGATAACAACGGAAACCGGATAACGGACGCCGCATGGCAACTTGAGACTGCCAGAGCAAACGCAAGAGACATCCGAATCCGACGAGCGAAGGGAAACTCCCAGAATAAGGTGACTTTTGAGTTGACTCAAGTCAATCCGACGAGCGAAGGGAAACTCCCAGAATAAGGGCGCCGTCTCCCGTACCTTGAGACTACCCGAGCACGCGCACGGGACGTCAAGATTCGCCACGTCATCCTCCTCCTGGCAGATACGGCACTCCTTCGCATCGCGATCTGCGATCGACACGCTTTCAGGCTCGGGAACGGCCGCAGGCTCGGAAGGCAGGTCTTTCCCACAGCTACAGCTTCCGTCTTTCCCTTGGCTGCTCACGTCTTTCCCACAGCTACAGCTTCCGTCTTTCCCTTGGCTGCTCACGTCTTTCCCATGACTGATGTTTATGTCTCCTCCGTCCCTGTAGCTAGCACTGTCGCTGGTTCTGCTGGTGCTGCTGACATTAGAGAGCCTGTCACTACTCTGCCTCCTGACCAACGGCTGCGATTCCAGCTCCTGTTGCGAGCCATATTCCACGTCGGAGTCGTCAGTAGGGACGTCCTGATGTCGCGATTCGACCGGTTGCTGCTGACGTGGATTGGCTGACGACGGCAAACCTTGGTGTTGGTGATGCGAGCCGCGGTTGCTCTGCTGGCCAGTGCACTCGCTGTCTGCTATACTCGTAGTCATTCGTAACTACGACAACCTGGGCTAGAAATAACGCGTGTGAGATTTTAAAAAAAAGTAGCTCTAACCAGGGCTTTCAGAAACGACCAGGAATGGCTCCGAAAGGACTTAACAAATGCTAATAATCAGCGAAAATGAACGACTGCTCAATACTTCTCGAGCTACTTCCCTAAATAATAGGACGATCACGACAATCACGTCTAGTCCGACGAAACAGGACAGGGAAAATGCAAGTTCGGAGGCCCGACAGGCTAGCGGTGCTAATACTTAGTGGCAGATAATTTCACAGGCGAAGCGAAGAATTTTACGCACTGAAAGCCGAACAACCATGAAGACCGGCTGGTTGGTGAAGGGAACTCGCAGTCCACAAACCCTTAGACAGAGGTGGTGCAGGGAAGGTGACGGACGAGGCTCGACATTCGGCTCGGGGGGCGAACAAGAGGTTCGGTTCGGCTATCACAGGGGATGTGACCGACAGCAGGGAAATTTTACCCCTTCTGGAGGGCTATGTGACTGTAACGGAAGGCCAGGCAGGCTATGACTCCCAAACTGAAAGGTTTGGCATTGGCTCGGATGGATTTCACCACAACCTGTAGGTTCGTTTCGCGGAGAAGTCGAAGGTACGGGCTTTCTGGAACCAGCTAGCTGCCCCCAAACCACCGAGAAAGCCGTGTTGGTGACGTGTTTGATGACAAGCCAAGCCGAGCCTCAGAAAACCTGTCGCACAAGGCCCATCCCATATATACTGTACCGTCGAAGGCGGAACGGGGTCGCAGGGGGAGCAAGGTAAGTGTTGCGTGCGACGAGACGGTGCGGCAGGACGTGAAATTGCCCTCTCAGCTCTTGCAATTGACGAGAAACGTCAGATTTGTTCGCCGGGTCTATAACAGTAACAGCACAGCATTCCCCTAAAAAACTGGCAGTTAGGGAAATAAACGAGACATACTGTGTAAATGAATCAGCAGAAAAGAATACGCCCATTGTTAGGCCAACACGGATTAGTAAGCAAAAAGCAGCTTCAGTAAATAAATCAAACAAGTCGAGCTGCAGTGTTTGCAGCTGCGACAGCAGGAATCTTGGAAGATGAGTAGCCAAAACAGGCACAGCTGCTGCATGCATTCTACACAGCAGCAAGTCAGCTCAGTAGCCTGGTCCAAGTCACTTATACAAGTGTTTGTTGCTGACTGATGAATCGATGAGCCACGCGGGAGAGGGCACTACAGAAATCGTCCACTTGGAAAGCTGTTCGTGATGTGATGTGATGTCATGTCATCCGAAACCATTCGACAAGAAAGCAGCACCCAGGTGTTGTTGCATCTCAGCAACCCGTTCTCAAGTCACTCATACACGAGCTGTTGCATGCGGCTTTGAACACGGTGCCATTCTTGTACGTGGTGTACTTGCTGCCAAGGCTGTATTTATAGTACGCCGCTGCTCTGTTGCAGAGGTAGTCACAGGTGTACTGCAGGAGAACGAAGAGCGGCAGGAAGACGGGCATTGGAGTTAAGTGATGGTGGGAAACTGGCTGGCACAGTTTGTAACATAGAAAAAAGACGAAGCAGGGAAAAAAGCACTGAAATGTGGGGGGGGAATGTAGAAGAGAAGAGGGATGGAGAGGTAGGTGGTGGGAGAATGAATGAGAAAGTGCATGAGAGAGGGAGAGGGAGCGAGGGAGGGATAACAAGGACTTTATTCGTCTCACCAGCAAGCAATCGCACTGCGTTTTAAACACCATCGGGCAGTAGTAGAAATAATCTGGAGTGAGCGGCCATGATGGGAGCGGGCAGACGCCAGGCGGCGCAGGGCACTTGTTGGGGGCTGGCTCGAGTAACGTCCGGTTCTGGCAAATCCCCTGGTTGCACATGTCGCACGGCTCAGCCTTGATAAGCGGCAGCGCGAAATTCAGCACCGCGTGGCACGTGGACGGGTACGTGACGAAGTCGGACCCGCAGACCGGAAGTGAGGTCGCGCAGACGTCGCCCCCTATCTTCCTCGTGCATGGGATGAGGATCATTTGGCCAGGCGTAATTGACTGGTCCGTGCAATCTGGGAAGGAATTCGACGCGCAGATGTCTTGCGGGTATGTGTTGTTGGGACACATGGAGGCGTATTGTTGCGAGATGGAGGCGAGCGTGTCGTTGACGCCGACCGAGAAGGGGATGATGTTGGGGGAGAGCGGGTACTTGGTCATCGACTGCGCAGTGCCGTTCACACACACAGCTTGCCCGATCTGAAGGTACGGCGGGTAGCACTGCAGTGGACAAGGCCGAGTAGGGAGCGGAGGAAAAAGCAGTGAAGGAACACACGAGGAGGCAGAACACATCATTTTTACAAGCTGCGCGAAATGTCTAAAACGGGGACAAGGGGGGAAAGGAGAGGAGACGCACCCCCAGGCTGGGGTTGAGGCGGAGAAACTGGTTGACTGTGAGACCGACAGACGGCCAACAGGCTAATTGAAATCAAGATTCGCGAGAAAGGAGCAACGCACCCGCAGGCCAGGGTTGAGGCGGAGGAACTGGTTGACTGTGAGGCCGACGGTGTTGGCCATGAGAGGGCACGAGTCCGCCTGGGTAACCGTGTACCAGTTGTTACAGTTCACCGTCACGAACTGCAGAGAGAGGAGGGTGGGGGGAGGGGAAATGAGGGAGGCATGTAGGATAAGGGAGATGATCATCCGTATGGAGGATGCTGCAACAAATTGCCAACAGCGTCGGGGATAAAACCCTTGAACACAGGAGAAAGGGTACCAGGCGGGGGGAAGACGAACGGGTATGAGGGGGAGGGGAGGGCGGAAAGACTTGGGTTGGGAGAGAACGGAGGGAGACACGCATGCTCTCTTGGGCGCATACCTCTGTGGTGAGAGGAGCGACACAGACTGCAATGGCGTTGTTGATGGGATTGTCATCGCACCGAAGACCCGGATTCAGCCTGGAAGCATCAGAGATTCCGGGAAGAAACTTCAGTCAGGTGGCAGCCCATGCACATGCAGTCAGGTGGCAGCACATGCAGGAGGGAGCTGAATAAGCAAGTGCGCCCCCCCATTGTTGTGCCGCCTACCCTTCCTCTTTCCCACAACCCATACTACCCCCCTTCCCTCCCCACCGGCCTGCTTCCCCCCACCCATCCCTACTCTCTCCCACTCCTCCACAACCCCTGCCACGCTGGCTTCCCCCACATATGCGCCGCGCACGCATCCACCCCTCTCCACGCACTGGCACCGCGGGGCACGCACGCACCACATGAAATCGATCAGGGATATGTTGAATCCGCGCGCGATGTCCACGCATCTGTCCTGCGCGCCGACGTTGTACACGCGCCCGCACGAGCGGATCAGAGATGACGTGGCGGACAGCGCGCCGGGTGCCACGCACAGCGCCTGCGACCGCTGCAGCGAAACGTTGCAGTTGAGGGTCGGGTTGATTCCCAACAATTGACGTACAGTAATATTGTTGCGTGCAGCAACTGTGCTACATGTGTCGCCCGGGCTGACAATATCCATAGCGGAGCAGCCTAAAGAGACGTTGGTTGCGCCAACGAGGATGACGTAACCCGGAGTGAGAGGTTGGGAGCAGTCGATGAACGGATTTTTGGTTTGGAGGAAGTCTACAGTAAATCCGAACGTGCTGGCGATGGTTCCGCAGGTGTCGCCTTGCAGGATGGTGTAGGTTTGGAGGCCCGATTGGAATGTACCGAGAACGCATGTCATGGTGCCCTCAACACGCGAGCCAATCACAGAGCCCTGCACAAGCAGGAACGAAGCAAAAAAAAAGGTTGGCTCGGCTAAACAAACGTTACAAGGGGAAAATAACGAGCCAAAGCTTATGAAGGACGAAAAACGCCACAGGGAAAGCATGTGACGTGGCCCAAGGAAGCAGCTTACCGGAGGGCAGACGCAAGTGTAGCTGCCGTCAAACTCGTTATAGCAAGTCCCGATACCGCACGGGTTCGGGTTCGAATCACAAGGTGTAGCCAACGTGCACTTAGGCGCGTCGTTCTCCAAACGCTCAACGTAACCAGGCGGGCAATTGCACCGAGGCCCACCGTTCGTCACCACACACGTTCCGCCTCCGCACGGGTTAATCGGCAGCTTGCACAAAGCGGATCCCTTGGTCCTATCGTAGAAAATCGGGTAAATCCCGCGTTCGCTCAGCATGTTACACTTGCCGGGCCCGTCCGCCAGCATCGGTAGCCGCATGTAACCGCCTTCGCCCCAGGTGCTTCCCCAGGTGTTTTTTATGATCCAGACCGGCGCGTTAGGGTCGGTGAGACTGTAGCCTACGACCAGCACCGCGTGGTCGATCTCGCCGCTGCACTGCCCGAAGAAAATACCGCCCGAGTAGTTCTGCACGAGGAGCATGGGAGAGAGGGGGGGAAGGGGGGGGGAGTCGGGAGAGTGGGGAAGGGGAGGGGAGGAGAGGGGGGAGAGGGGTGCAGGGAGAAAGGGGAAAAGTGGGGGAGGGGGAGGGCGGGGAAGTTAGATTAGGAGGGAGAAGAGAGCTTCGAAGCGGAGAGCAGAGCAGAGGGAGAAAATGTCAAGGGTGGAGTGGAAGGGCCCCGGCGTGAAAGCAATGGAGATGAGGGGGACGACGAGAGACGGTAGAGGCTCCACCGAAGACGGGCTTACGATGAAGTCGTTGCTGCCGGCGGCGATGTAGACGAGCACGGGGTGCTCCGCCATTGCCTTCACGGGGACTCCCATCTCAAAAGAACACCCTTGGTACACGGGATAGAGAGACGCTGGAGGCGTGCGCGCGGGATAGAGAGAGAGAGAGAGAGAGAGAGAGAGAGAGAGAGAGAGAGAGAGAGAGAGAGAGAGAGGCGGCTTACGATGAAGTCGTTGCTGCTGGCGGCGATGTAGACGAGCACGGGGTGCTGCGCCACTGCCTTCATCAGCGCGCCGTTGCTGCGCGCAGGCACCTTCTCCCACCCGCTGATCTGCGCGCACGGGAAAAGCGTGGGAAAAGAGAGGAAGAATGAGAGAGAGAGAGAGAGAGAGAGAGAGAGAGAGAGAGAGAGAGAGAGAGAGAGAGAGAGAGAGAGAGAGAGAGAGAGAGGGAGAGAGAGAGGGAGAGAGGGAGAGAGAGAGAGAGGAAGAATGCGAGAGAGTGAAAGAGCGACGAGAGAGAGGGGGGCAAACACACACACACACACACGAGGGAACGACCCGCAACCAACATCCCCTGTCTCGCGCGAAGCAGCTCTCGCCTCTCGGCCTGCCCACCTTCGCCTTGAGCTTCGATTTCGAAACGCTCGCACAGGACGAGTTCACCATCCCCACGTAGGGATAATCCGCGTTAGCAGCCAGCCCGCCATTGAGCATAATGAACTGGAAGACCCACTCGGGCCAGCCGCCCTGGCAGCACTTGGACGCGGAGCAGTCGCACGCGTGCTGCGCGGAAAGAAGCTCCGCGGTGGCGTTGTTGATCTGCGCCGACACCACGCTCACGAGGTCCGTTGCCGTCATCGCCCAGCAGCTCTCGCACTGGAGGCACGTGAAAATACGAGCAGGGGAAGAGAGGAACAAGGGCAGAAACGAACAGGGGAAGAGAGGAACAAGGGCAGAAACGATCAGGGGAAGAGAGGAACAAGGGCAGAAACGAACAGGGGAAGAGGCAGGAGGAGCGGCTTGAAGCTCCGCGGTCTGGTCTGGTTGGTCTGGTTGAGCCCACAAACTGCTCACGAGGTCCGTTGCGGTCACCTCCCAGCAGCTCTCGCACTGGAGGGGGAGGGAAAGGAAGACACGAACACGGAAAGGGGGAGAGAACGACGAAAGCCGGAAGCAGGTCGACGATGGGAAAAGCGGGAGGAACAAGAGTGAATTGCCGGCCCAAATGCGCTGCAGCAACGCGGGATGGAGATTACCCTGGACAACCACAGATGACCCTCTCGGCCAAGAAACGCCTCCGGGCAGCAGCAAGGGAAAAACGGACAGACAGGAAATCGACTTGCAAACTGCCGGTTAAAAATGGCCGTCACGTTCGGAGTGATGTTCCAGTCCACGAGAGTCGGCTGCGACACGAGGAGAGACGAAAAGTGGACATTGGTTTGAGAGGAGGTACTTACGAACTGCTGGTTTAAGATGGCCGTCATGTACGGCGTGATGCTCCAGTCCACCAGAGTCGGCTGCGACACGCTCTGCCAACGATACCAGGACACGTTCAAGTCGCCGCGAGCCGGCGCTGCTCCCAGGTCAGGCGCCTGAATCGCCTGGATCTTCCCCGAGTTGCCCTGTAACCGTCTTCGCTGGGGGAGATCCGTCATTTCGTACAGCTCCATGTAACCCGGCTGCGCGAGAATCCTCCGCTTCACCGAGCCCGCGAAAGCGCGAAGCTTCTGTCCCCAGTTGGAACCTCCTGCGCTTCCCCCGCTACGCGCCGTTTCGCTCAGCATCCTCCCAACTGACCGAGTTTCCTCTAGTTCCTCGGGAGAGGCGGAATACTCAGCAGACGCGGACTTTCGGTTTGACCGGCTAGCGAGGCTTCGACGGAGCATGTGCTTCGAGAGCTCGCGAGCTTTAAAAATGGCGAACTCCTCCGGATTGTCCTTTACGAGCTCTTCGTTCCGCCATCTCTCCTGCATGTACATCTCGAATGCCGACGGCTGGACAGTTACCGAGCCGGAAACGGTCGAAGCGGAGTCGTCGGCTTGGGCTTGTGAAAGAGTTAAGAGAGCGGAGACTGAGAGTGTTGCTAGGAGTATTGAGCGCAGATTGAGAGTGTGGAAGGAAGCACTTCCACGGAATCTACCGCCGCCCACGCCTATCCGAACTGGCCGATTTTCTAACAGGCAGCCCATTTCCGTGACTGGAAGACAGCACGTGAAGAAAAAGGTTCCGCCTATAACTTAATATCTAACCCAGTAAGGCCTCAGGGTAATGTTCAGAGCCCAGTATAACAGACCTTCCTCTGCCACAAACCCAGTAAGCTTGCCCCAGTGGGGTCCTCTCCAAAACAATTCCACTCCTAAGAAATAAGGTCGAAACTGCCTCTGCAGCAACCTGAGCAACCAAGGTACACCTGACGGCGGTTTATGTAGGGCTAAGTTGATCCTGTAAGATGACGCTAGCTTAGCCCAAGTCGTGTCTGAACTAGCAATCTGCGTTCTAGTCCTTGAGCGTAAGCCATGACTGAAGCGCTACGCGTGTATCTTGCCTGTCTGACTGCAACGCGTAAGAGGTTGGTGGGGTGGGGGGAGGAGGACAGGCTTTCTTCTGCCTACATTACATATCCTCCTCTCGCAGCAGGCTCTTCTCTGAAAGCTGATTTGCGGAGGGGGGATGAAACCCTAGCTGCTTGCTCCTGCTCTGAGCACTTGCCTGCTTGCTTTCTTCCTGTTACATTGTGGATTTTGTCTTGCAAGTGTTGGTGGAAGGCTGGTGGGGGGGAGATGCTGCTGGGTTAGGCTAGTGGGAAGGTCTGGCTGGTTGCTCTGGGCAGTCTTGGAATCTATCATCCTGCTGCCGTAGTCAGCTAAACCAACCACCGCATTTGTCCACTCCACTGCCCGGGCACAAAAACATTTGCTGTACTTGGTGCGATTCTGTGCTGCTGGTCGCATGGGACGTCGTCGTTGTCGCATTGGCTCAAATGTCCGTCGCCTGTTGTTCTGACCAGTCTTGAGCCTTAGCGTGGCACTGTACGGGTTGTTTTTCGTTCTGGCCCCGCATTTTCCCCGTTCGGGCTGCCCTGACACGGAAATCTCAATGCAATATCGGGACCAAGGCACATGTTAACAGAGTAATTATTCTGACTTTACTGAAAATCCAAGGTGATTTCTCGACCAGCCTTGTGTTTCATAGGGCTTTTTGAAGCCCAGCCCTGACGAACTCAGGGAGATTTTCCTACTCATCCGTAGAGTACGGGAGGATTTTGGGAGGACCCGGACCGGACACAAGGGTAGCCTCCAGGAGGTGTGGGAATATCTCAAGGTCCCCAGTCCTCCTTTCCCCCCTTAGCCCCACCCTTCCCTTTCCCAAACTTGGGGAAAGTTGTATAACGGCAGGGATCGAATAGCTTAAACTCGAATATTGCGAAGGTTCTTGTACATTTCTGTGTGTTGCTGTCGTTTTTTATACGATTTAGTGCGGTAAGCATTTAAACGAATGTTTCTTGGGAAATGAACCAAGCCCTAAGGTGCCAAGGAGCTAGAACTTCACCTGTATTTCTGCATGCACTACCAGATCACTGGTTACTTAGCAGCAGGTTTTAATATGAGCAGCCACGAACAGATGTTCATGCCACTCAAAATCGCCCCAGCCCTTTCCCCCACCCCCCTTCTCCCCGCCCCTCTTGGCCCAAATTTAGCTCCTTCACAGGTGCGTCTGTGGTGGCGGATTTCCCAACCCGAAGCTCTCCCACTCGCAACCCCAGTGTCTCGTCCCACAAAAACTGCCCACGCTCTATCAGGCCTTTTCGAACGCGCACCCTGAAGAATCAGGGTAATTCTTTGCCGAAGTCGGATTTAACAGGGTGATTTTTCGAGGGGCACTGATCGTCGGAGGTGGGGGAAAACCTAGTGAGAGCCCTGATCGGGACAATCAAACTCGTCGCGCAGATGTCCTTCTCGCGAGGTCCCCCCCCCCAGGTCTCCGTTGTCCGTCGCACGCACACTCTGCGGTCGTGGAGTTTGGCGAGTTGTGCCCTTGTCGACATTCTTTCATGTCCTCTCCTCACCAACCTGCAGTCTGAAAATATCATTTTGCTTTTTTCAAAAGACTCAACGGTCTTGAAATTGACTCCATATTGTGTCCGCCGGGAAGGAATCCACTGGGATTGCCAGTGTCGTATTTCTGCGCTTGCACAAGTTTCGCCATGCAGTTAGTAGCTGTGTACAGTTCAGGCCTTCCCAATATTGGCTCGGCATCGGTAAACAATGTGAAGACTTGGTCTCCAGTTCTATGTGGAATCCTCACCCTCTAAAACCGATGAGTTTTTCTCCCTACTACCTGAAATCTTCCGGGCACAAAGGGAAATTCCACGATCCGCTCCCCCAGCCCTCCCCTTGCCCCCAAACCACCAAGCCAGTCGACCTTGACGACGGTTTCTGCCAGGTCCTTGACACTCCAAGGTGTTCCCCGATCTCTGACCTTGCTGTCCTTCCACTGGCCTGCTTCAGGACTGTTCTTGCGTCGTGTCATCCGTCAGTGTCGTCCAAAGTTTGCCCGTATCTAGGTTCGGCCGAGCCTAGCTCACAGGCAAATTTCGGACGACACTGGCGGATGACAAGACGCAAGAACGGGTCCTCATGCAGTCCGTCAGGTGGTGTAGGCAACAGTGACAAATCTGCTGCACAAACAGAGTGTACATTGTATCGAGAATGTAACCAGATATTTCGCGGGTGTTGTCTTACTGTTACGAATCATTTGACTGTGCCCAAGTATGTGATCTCCTTGCTATTGTTTTCATTGCTATTATTTACATTGTAAACCATGCTGAATGGGCCCGTTGAATTGGAAGTTGGAACTGATTTCCTTATGTCTCCCATTTTCAATAAAACCATTTTGCCGACTGATTGGAAATCTCAACTCACTACTACTATGGTGATCCGCGATGTGGCATCCATGTACCAAACACTCAGATAAAATGTTTTTGCTCAAAACACCATGTCACTACAAAGTTCAACCGCACCTTTTTGTATATCATTACAACCACTGTATTAACCCACCTCCATGACGAGTTTCATGAAAATGGGGATGCCCCGCAACACCATTGCGAAGGCACCTGGACAGGGGAGCGAAGCGCCGCAGCATCATCATCGGGTGGTGTCAGTTGTCGGTGACAGCTTTGTGGGGCGTGGTGGTGGAACTCCGCGTTGCACCTGGCGCGCGAATTCCTGTGACTGAAATTTTCACCTGAAGCCCAAGCCTAGAGACGGAAGCGGGGGAGGTGGGGGAGAAAGGGGAGAGGTGGGGGGGATGGGGTTTTGCTGGATGGACGGAGGTTCCTATCCGCCAAACCTCCCGATATTGGCGCGTAAGGTCGCAGTCTCGCAGAACGACTCGGTTCACGGGTTCTACCCGCAGAGGCGACAACGCGGTCTCGCCTCACGACTGGATGCAGAGCTCTGCGAAGAAATCTGGTGCACAGACAGACAAGTCAGAACCGGGACGCGCTTTCAGCTTGGTTTTGGTTCGGTGGCGAACAACTGTTCACATAGCCCCACCACCCACTCACCGAAAACCAAACGATGTCGCAGCAGCCCGTAACCACAGCGACGTCTGCCGGCCGAATTTTCTTTCGCATGCGCCAACGAGAGATTCTTTGTTTTTCAATGTGTTGGATTGGGCCTTGGAACTTGGACTCGTCGCCTCGCCTCGTCCCGTCGACTCGCGCTCACACACGCCCGCCAAACCGGCCGCAAATTTTGTTCTGTCTGACCCAACCCAACCTTTCTTACTCGCTTGCTCGATTGCCCGCTGGCTTGCAACTCTCCCCCACCAACGCAGCCCCCAGCGAAGCTCCCTGTTCGTTTCGGGGAAAATGCAGTCGCTCGGGCACCAGGCCTGGGGGTTCAGCATATATTCAACGAACGATACAACCAGCTTGCAACAATACCTACTGCTAGATCCAGTTAGACTTATCCAGCATTACGGACTTACCTGTGCTTCACAACAATACCTCTGCTTTTATTTTGTGCATCTCCGTTCCTCAACAGCCTGAATCAATCGGCAGATTCTGACTCAATTGCGACGCCGCGAACACAGCTAACTTGTAAATCAACGGCTGCACCGCGATGGAATCCAACGGCCAGATGCAAAAGTCCGACTTGGGCTGCTCCGCTTCCGCGCTCTTCCTCCCCGAGCAGGACTTCGGCGGAAACAGTATCTGGAGCACCGCCCCCCGCGTGGCCGCTATCTCCGCCGCTCCCCGCGTTGCCACCATGAAGACGCAGCCGCACCTCTTGGTGCAAGTGCCTGCGGATGACGCAAGCGAGTGTGACGATAACGAGAGTGATTGTGACGATAGCTGCTCCACTGCCTCCACCTTCTCCTGCCTCTCCCCGCGCTCATCCGCGTCTTCCGCGTCTTCAGCCGCTGGGTCGCTCTCCCCCGCGGGATCCCTTTCCCCCGCTACCGTGCTCCGCCGCGGGTCTCGGCGCGCATTTTCGTGGGACGCAGATGAAGCTTCAAACGGGGTTAACGGTACTGGCGTGGGTTGTGATTATAGCGAGTCTGTTGATGACGTGATCAATCTGCCCGACGATCTCGATCTCTATCCTCGCGAATGCTCGCCATCGCCTCACCCGGCTTTCGCAAACGACAGCATTCTGGGTTGCCCCGCATTCTCCCCCGCTGCCGCCCCCACCCCCGCCGCTTGCCTTGCGCCAGCCCCCGCCCCGTGCCTTGCGCCCGCCTGCGGATCCGCAGCATTTCCCGCGACCCCGCAAATGCTGTACCAGCAGCAGCTGCAGCAGCAGCAGTTGAGCCTGTATTGGCAGCAGATGTACCTGAACCAGATGCACCTACAGCAAGTAATGTATCTCCAGCAGCAGCAGCAGCAGCAGCAGCAGCAGCAGAAGCTCCAGCAGCAGAGCCAGCAGCGCTTCGTGGGCGCGCAGAAGGCACAGGGAGAGTCCCCGCGGGTTTTCCTTCCGCCCCGCTTCCTCCCCCAGCAGAACACCGCGGGCACGGGGGTCTTTCTCCCCCCGGCCCGCGGGTAAACAGCCAGACGAAGTTGCCGGGAGCAGGAACAGGGGGAGAATTCGCTCGCTTTTCTAGAGCTGCGAAACCAGCTTGACTGGTAACCAAATAAGTTTCGCCAGTGGACATGGGTACATGGGCTCGCCAGTCCCCTCGCTGTACATGGGTTTGCTTCAGTTGCTTGGGTGCTGCTGCTGGTTACCTTGTCTGTGGTCCTGCTGTGCGCACAGCAGCGCACAAGGGGTAACCACCAGCAGCTCACCAAACTAGCAAGGGATTTCCTTAAGGTACCTCTCTTTTCTGTGAGCACCTTTGCATGTGTTGTATAGAGAATGGAGGATGGTGTTTTCCAGCATGAAATAAAATAATAAAATAAAATAAACAACGATGGAACAAATCTATGAACAAAATGTGTGTATGAATTCTCATTCACGGAACGAAGTGCTGGGCTCCAGTCTATAACTTAGGCAGGGGCCCGTCTTCCTTTCCTTGGGAGCGGTTCATGGTTGTGTGATCCATGGAACGTAATTTTCGGGGGCTGCCCATCGACAATGTCAATGCTTCTTGTTGCCCGGCATCCTGTGGCGGCCGAAGAGCTGCAGCGGTAGTATTTCCTCAGGAAAGGAGCTTCCTGCCTTGGTGCAATGATCTTGTTTCCATAGTTGTGCCACCTGTAGCCCGCATCAGTTGGGCTGCTGCTACCAGCCTTAGAAACAGGAGAGGCGGGAGCACTCACAGCAGCAGCCACTCCAGTAGCCGTAGCAGATGCACCAGAGGCAGGGGAAGCAACGAATTCAGCAGCGCCAGAACCGGCAGCATTCACAGCTGCTGCTGCAGGTGAGGGGCCAGATGCACTAGGAGTAGCAGAGACGGAGCAAGGGCCAGGGCTTTTGCTGCTGCCGCTCCCTGACTGCAGGCACCCCTGCACGGGCCCCACTGGAGTCACGCCCATGGGAGAAGGCACCTTGTTCCCTAGAAGCCTGACCCTCTTGTTTCCCCTCTCCCTTATCTCCCTAATCTGCTTTTCCATGGGTTGGCGCTTGTCCCCCGCCCTGCGCCCCTGGGGGTTAGAGGCTTCCTCCAGTTGCACTGCTGGTGATGCTGGAACCATCTGGGAAGCATTTCCTGTTACCGGTACTTCCGATGCGGGCGGCGGAGAGGGAACGGAGGTGTCACTGACGAATTGAGGGATGCTCAGTAAGGGGCATGCCGCTGCTGTCTGGTGGTCGTGCACCGAGGCTTGAGTAGACTCCCCTTCAAGCCTTTGAACAGACCTACCCGGGACCGGGGAACGACCGGTATCAACTAGAAGGGGTGTGTCGTTTCCTCGCCTTGCCAATGCAGCCCGCAAGCGCGCTGCTAGCATGGTGTTCCGGTCTCTACTGACTGGATAGCATGGGGCATCAGGTACTGCAGCTGCTGCATGAGTCATGGCTTGGTTCTGCGCTGCTGGCCTTGCTGCATTTCCTGTAACAGTTGCAGCAGGCGAGGGACTGGAAGAAGTAACTGCGGGGGTTACCGCTCCGACAGAAGCCGGACTCTCGGGATCATTAAGAGCAGCATTGCTTAGAGCCCGAGCAATCCCCGCTGAGAATGGCGAAGAGGCTCGATCGTCCCGCATGCCGCCAGTGCTGCTGCTGCCGCCCTCCTCCTCCTCCGCACTGCTGCTGCTGCTGCTAGAGCTGCTGTTGTAACCCGCCGTGTCTCGCAGTGTAACCACGTTACACGGCGCTGCCGAGTGACATCCCCGCAAGTCCGTCCCAGCTACGGTCTGCATTTTGCTCTTTTTAATCTGCTGCAGAAGCCCCGACATTGTCATTGCGAAAGGCCCCATATCGGTAGTAGTACCGCCCCTCTCGCTTCCACTGGTTGAGGGCGGAGAAGGAGCAGCTGCAGCAGCAGCAGCAGGAGCAGGCGGGCCTGCAGCAGCAGGGGCTGCAGAGCCAGTAGAGGCATGAGCAGGAGCGGCAGTTGTGGCACCAGCTGAGACGCTGACATTAGGGGGATCTAGTGCTACTGATGCCCCATCTAAGACAGCCTCGCAATCGCCAGGGATGGGGTAACCACCGTATCCTGCTGGATGCATTTCGCCTGCTGTCGCCGCCTCACCTGCGGTCGCCGCCGCAGCCCCGCTCTCGCTGGTGCCTTGTGGCGCTTCGTGCTGAATCTGCGCCTGCAGCTCCAGGAAGCGCGCAACGCACACGTCGCGCTGATGCTCCGCGCTGCTCACCGCCGCCGCCGCGAGGCTTTCCGCAAAATACCCTCCCGCCGCCACGAAGCTAACGCCGCTGGTAGCAGCAGTACCAGCAGCAGAGGTAGAACCGTCAGCCTCAAGTCTACCCGGAATCTCCCGTGCTCCTGCCGCAGCCGCCGCCGCGCCAGAGGCTGACGGTTCGGCTGATACATGGCCGTTGCGACCGGGGGAAACGACGCCCGAGGCTCCTGCAATTCCGCAGGGCGGAAGCTGATCTAATATTCCTGACGTCAGCGCTGGCATTCCTGCCATTCTTGGCATTCCTTGGATTCCCTGGAGTGACGGTGAAGGAAGGATGGACTCGCCAGTGTCGGTCCACGCCCAACTGCTGGGGTCGATAGCGTCAGCCTCCCAGAGACCGCCGCTGCTGAAACAATCAGATTCGAAAAACCGTTCCGCCTGACCCATGATGACTTGGAGCGCGACGTTTTTGTTATGACTAACTTTCTGACGATTCGGGTTTAGGGTGTCTCTGGGTTTCTCTGGGTTCCAGCGACTGGGATCGTCGCGTGGGACAAGCGGGCTTGAGTGGATTTGAGATTCGGGGAGAAAAGTCAGCAGGCTTGGTCCACCAAGGATGGTTGCAATGTCTGACTGACCAATTCGCGAAGGAAACCTACTTTATGCTTGCACAGCATAGTTTCGAGTGGGCGCCACTGTTTCTAGCTTCTCCCATTCCTCGAATGTGGGTAACTCGTGCCATGCGTATCATGCTTTACGTTTGCAGTGTGTGTCAAGGTAAGGCAGCGTGAGGTTAACGCATGCGTGAAAGCACGATTCGTACGCGAGTGGTTGACGACGCTCACGAAGCGTTGATATTGCTAACGAGCAGGGAAATACAGGCGATTAAGCGTAACCCTGTCCCGAGTGCTCAGCATTACCGGCACCCGTGTTGAATCTTGGCGCCAAAGTGTCCACATCCCAGTTTTCGCGCGGCGCATTTCATTTCGCACATGTTGTTTCCCGTGTCGTGAACGGGAAGGGAATGCTGAAGCGGGCGAAGTCTGAATTTATTTGCGATCGAAGGGGCAGTGTACCCGGAACTTGGAAAAAAAACGTTCAACCAATCAACGGGGAGAAAAGCCATGAGAGTCCGTTGACGACGACGACGACGACGACGACCTCGATTCTCAGATCGACGGCTGAAAGAAACTGAGGGTGGTCCGAAACATTTGAGGATGATGCTCCGCTGAGTGAAACATTTTGTGCGTCGTGTATTACACTTTTACACACCAGACCGTACTTAACCTGGTTCCGCCCTTCTCAAAACGGTTATGCGAGTCTTCCTCCTGTACATGTACGAGTTATTCTCCAACTGGGAAAATGACCTTTCTGGACCTTGGCAACAACTCGCTGGATGTTGCCGAAGCAGTTTGAAACGCGGACGTAGTCCACACCCTCCCAAACCCCTCTCCAAACTTACAATCGCCAGACTGCTAGGTCGCTAATTTCTCGCGTGTTTTCTACCACATGACTTAGAGATAGCGTGTTGAAGTGTTCAAATCCCGTCACCCGCTCTTCGCCCCTCTCCAGCGAAATGGTCAAGAAGCGGAAGGCCAAGAACCAGGGCGGGGCCGGGGACATGGATATGGGGGAGGATGCCGCGCCTTCCGCCGTGACATCCGCCGCTGGAGCCGCTGTGGATGCCGCCTCCTCCGCAGGATTTTCCGGCGCGTCTGTCGTCGTGGGAGCCGCCGGTGTGTCGGGAGAGGGGTCGGCAGGTCCGACTGCTAGCGGCAACGCAATGGGTATGCGGGGTTTAAAGCCAGGGTATCCCCAATTAGCAGTCTGAGCGTACAGCCTGGAAGGCCGTGTAGCTCTCGCTCATGTGGCGTGGCACCCACGCGCTCTCATCGTATGACTTATTCTGGCGCGAATTCACACGACTTTCGGGGCTTCGGGTTCAGGCTTTAGCGTCAACCCTGGGATTTTTGGTGTGAGTGCACCCTCCTAGTCCATTGCGCTGGTATGACTCGTTCTCACCTTAGTCACAGCATATCGACCTTGGAGGCGATTTTCGAGGCACCTCAGAAATCGGTGTGACTAGTTGTCGCCATTTTCCCAACAAGCCGACCTCGGAGGCAGCCCAAAAGTTGCCACATCCATGGCAGGGGTATTTTTTTCAGGGGTAGTTTTAACAAAGCTACTGTCAGCGGTATTTTTACAGGGGTTTTCTTAACAGTACCTGTTACTAACACCTCACTGCTAAAGCTTCTTCCTTAGCTGCAGCTCACGCAGCTCAATTGCTGACGGACCTTGACCTTAGTGGCAGCCCAAAAATCGGGACATCCGTGACATGTGAACCTGCGCTCGGGGAAAGAACTCTTTCCCGTTGCCCCTTCTGAAACACATCACTGCATACCATCCAACCCCTCTGCTTTTGAGTCGACTCAAAAGCGTTGCCCCTTCTGAAACACATCACTGCATACCAACCAACCCCTCCTATGCCCCTCCCCTCCCCCACTTCCGCGTTTCTCACTCTCCTCATCCCCCCCCATGCGCGTCCCTTCCCCTCTTTTCGCCCACGTGTAGACACGAGTGAGACTATGGGATTCACAGTCATCAAGGCGTCTGACAGCCATAATCAAGCCCCCGTGCCAGTCTTGAGGTAAAGCACGCTTATCTCTCCTGTCCCGGTGTTTCACCTGCCACTTTTGAGTCGAGACAAAAGCAGATTCACAGTCATCAAGGCGTCTGACGGCCACAATCAGCCCGCCGTGCCAGTCTTGAGGTACAGCATGCATGCCTCTGCTGTCCCAGTGTTCACCCGCCACTCCTGTAAGGAGTAAATAGGCTTCCTTCCACGTGCCTCACATATTGTCTCTTTCACCTGCCACTTGTGTTTTGTAGGCTTCCTTCCACGTACCTCTGCCATTCCTCCAGCTAGCAAAGATTCCCTCCCCTCCCCTCCCTTCCCGTTTGCCCCACTCTGTTTTTTAGGCGCCGCACATATTGTCTCTTTCACCTGCCACTTGTGTTCTGTAGGCTTCTTTGCGGTTCCTCCAGCTAGCAAATATTCCCTCCCTCCCTTCCCATTCGTCCCACTCCTCGTCTTGTCCATATTACCCACTATGTACACTCCCGCTCTGCACTGTACAATCACAGTTATGCTCAAATTTCTACAATCATTTCCATCCCCACAGGAAGAAGGGCGCACCGGGGCAACGGGCCATGACGAGGAGAAAGCAGAAGTTGTTGACCAAGGCACTGTCAATCCTAGAGAAAACAGAGTCCACGACACAGAAGACTGCTGCAGAGAAGGCACCCGCTCACTCCCTGCACCCATGTCCATTCGACCATGTCCATTCGACCATGTCCATTCGACCATGTCCATTCATCCATGTCCATTAACCCATGTCCATCAACCCATGTCCATCAACCCATGTCCATCAACCCATGTCCATCAACCCATGTCCATTAACCCATGTCCATTCAACCATGTCCATCAACCCATTCCCAATCACCCTCCGCATCCTGGCAGGAAGAAGGGTGCACCGGAACGACAGGCCAAGACGAGGAGAAAGCAGAAGCTGCTGACAAAGGCACTGGCGATCAGAGAGAAAACAGAGACCAAGACGCAAAGGCACACAGCGAAGAAGGCACACGCTCACTTTCCTGCACTTTTACCCATCCACCCGCATGCACCCATCCTGGCAGGAAGAAGGGCGCACCGGAGCGACGGGCCAAGTCACGGAGAAAGCAGAAGCTGCTGGCGAAGGCACTGGCGATCAGGGAGAAGACAGAGACCAAGACGCAAAAGCATGCGGCCAAGAAGGCACGGGTACATACACTGAAGAAACTGTACTAAAGTGTACTGTAGGTGTAGCTGCTGTGTCTGTACTAAATATTCCATGTGATGTGAGTAGATTACAACATTGGATTGTGATGTCAAAACATATCCTAGTACCGTCATCCCCCCTATATAACACCCGCCGAAATAGTCACTCCGCGGGTGGTTTATGCGGGGGAGAGCTTATGATAGGGTGAATTCAGGAGAGCACCCGCTTTTCGGGGGTTGCATTTTACATGACACCCTCCTCGTTTTATGCAGCAAAGAACAGTATTTTGTAGTCAACTACCATTAGCAGCGAAAAAACGGGCAGAAACTGTTAGAATACGTGAAGGATTACTAGAAGGAGAAAGGACCTTGGCGTCACCAGTACGTTCCCTGGTCACGAGAGGTACGCTGTCTGCACCGAGGCCGCCACAGGTGCTCCCCTTTCCACGTTCCCCCAGGACCCGGTGTCTGGATTGTTCACACTAGACACCCCCCCCCCCCCCCCCCCCCCCCTCCGGTTGTGCCGTCCCCCCCGGTGACTGTGTCTCCTCAGGTAGCTGCGTCTTGCTCGTGTCGGTCGCTCACTCACCCAACACTACTGTGGCACCACCGCCTAGGTCACCCTGCCCTCCCTCGCCTTCGTCATATGTCTCAGCACGGTCTTGTTCTAGGCCTCCCTGGGTCGTTCCCTGCCTCCCCTCCTCACCCGCGCCGCCGTGTTCCCACTTCGTCGAGGGCCGGCTCCTCCGTGCCCCTCACTCCTCCTCGTTCCCCCCCACCACCGCACCCTTGCAGACACTGCACATGGACGTCTAGGGCCCTGCCCCGGTCCATGGGCCGCGTCGTGAGCGTTACTTCCTCGTCCTTGTTGACGACTACACTCGTTACACCACCGTGTTTCCTCTGGAGCGGAAGGCCAACGTGCCTAACGCCCTTATCCCTTGGCTGGTCTCTGCGCGAGTGCATCGCGGTCTCCCTGTCTTGCGTCTTCACTCCGACCGTGGTGGCGAGTTTGCCTCCGGCGTCCTTGGTCGTTTCTGACGTGCGGAGGGCATCACCCAGACGTTCACCCTGCCGGACTCCCCATAGCAGAATGGGGTCGCTGAGCGATGCATCGGTTTGGTCATGGAGGTGGCTCGTACCTCAATGATCCATGCCGGTGCACCCCATTTTCTGTGACCGTTCGCCGTTCGCTACGCCGCTCACATGCTTAACCTGTGGCCGCATCCCCAGCAGCCGCAAGTTTCGCCGACCCTTCTTTGGACCGGGTCCCCTGGTGACGTGTCTGCGTTCCACGTCTGGGGCTGCCTTGCTCACGTTCGTGCCTCTGGCACGGACAAGCTCACTACCCGCACCGTCCCCTGTGTCTTCCTCGGTTTCCCCCTTCGACTCGTCTGACTGGCACTTCTACCATCCGCCGTCTCACCGTTTCTTTCACTCTCGCGACGTCACATTTGACGAGTCTGTCTCCTTCTACCACCGCTTTCCCAAAAGTGGTCCCCCGGTTACCCCCCCCTGTTCCTGGTCCCCACTCCCCCGGTCGCCCCTGCTTCCCCACCTCCCCGCCTTGCCCCGTCTGGTGTTTCTCACGTCACCCCCCTCTCGTCGGTTGTCCCGGTTGAGGAGTCTGCTGACTCTCGTGGCCCTGCGGTGCAGTCCTTGCCGTCTGCCCCCTTTACAGTGTCTCCTCCTCCGCCTTCTGAGCCGCAACCGTCGTCGCAGCCGCAGCCGTCGTCGCAGTCGCAGCCGCCGTTGTAGCCGCTGCCGCCGTTGTCGCCATCGCAGCGGCAGTTCATGTCCTCTGGGGGTGCTGGTGATGAGGAGGGTGCCCGTCCTGGGGGTAGTGCTGGTGCTGAGGGGGTCTCTGTTTTTGGGGGTGTTCCTTCTGGGGGTGCTGGAGTGGAATGTTCCGGCGGTAGCCGTGTAGCAGCTGGCGGTCCAGGTGTCGGCGTCGTGCAGCCGGAGCAGCAGCCGTCGCTGCCGGTGTCTGCCCTCTGCTTGCTCGGCCTTCCCTCCCCTGATCACTCGTCTGCGCCTCCCTTACCATCCCCTCCTCATCCTGTCTATGGCCCTGTATTCCCTCCTCCGCACTCCTCTCCGGCTCGTCTTCCCCCTCGTTCCCCTCTTGTGTCTCCTCCCTTGTCTCCTTACCCGAAGCTTCCGTTCCACGTCTGGGCTCGCCGTCCCTCTTGTGCCCGTCTGGTCTCCCCGTTTCACGTTCTCACCACATGTTGCTTCGTTCCCACGTGTCTCGTCCTCCCCTCCTGCCGTCGCCTCCTCCGTCCTCTCTTGTTGTCGCGCCTCCCCCTCTGTCTGACTACCTTCGTACCACTCGTCCTCTTGTTTCTCGGGTCCTTGCCTCTCTTGTTACCGACCCGTCTGTTCCTGTTTCGTCTCTTGACGCACTTGTGCTAAGGGGTTGTACTCTCTGAGAGCGTTTTCCTACGAGCCTCTTCCCTGGAAACCTCTTCCCAGACAACCGCGCAACCTTGTTACCGTGTTCCAAGGGTTGGAATAATCCCGCTTCATATTTGGGTTCCAACGCTCTCAACCACATAAAAACAGCTGGCGTCGAAGATTTACTGTGCAGATTCGCGCTTGTCTAAAACTATGTTCGTATGAAATGAGGTTTTAAAATACGCCCCTGAATCCCAAAGAGCCGAATCTCACTATGCACTTCGCAGAACCGCACTGAAACATTTCGCGAAAAAAATTGCGACACTGTAACACGCGAGTCTGGGAAGAGGTTGGTAGGAACACGCTCTAAGAGCACACAACTATCTAGCATAATATATATATATATATATATATATATATATATATGTTTTGACACACCCCCCAGGCAAAATGAGGGGTAGTGCCTGGAAAGAGACACACAGCTTAGGGTGGCACTACCGGCCACCGGCCACCGGCCACAGGCCACCGGCCACCGCCCACAGTCCACCGCCCACCGCCCACAGTACACCGCCCACCGGACAGCGCCCACGGCCCACGGCCCATGGCCCACCTCCCACCGCCCACGGCCCACTGCCCACCTGCCACCGCCCACGCCCACCGCTCACCGGCCACCGCCCACCGTCCACCGCCCACCGCCCACCGTCCACCGTCCACCGGCCACCGGCCACCACCCGCCGCCCACCGCCCCCCACCCGCCGTCCCCCACCCGCCGTCGCCCACCCACCGCCCGCCGCCCACCGCCCGCCGCCCACTGTGCACCGCCCACCGTGCACCGTCCACCGTGCACCGTCCACCGCCCACCGCCCGCCGTCCACCGCCCACCGGACAACGTCCACCGCCCACCGTCAACCGCCCACCGTCCACCGTCCACCGCCCACCGCCCACCGTACACCGTCCACCGTCCACCGTCCACCACCCACCGTACACCGTCCATCCTCCACTGCCCACCCGCCCACAGCCCACCGTCCACCCTCCACCGTCCACCGCCCACCATCCACCCTCCACCGTCCCCCGCCCACTGTACACCGCGCACCCTCCACCCTCCACTGTCCACTGCCCACCGCCCACCGTACACCGTCCACCGCCCACCGCCAAACTTCCACCCTCCACCGCCCACCGCCCACCGCCCACCGTCCACCCTCAACAGTCCACCCCCACCGCCCAACTTCCACCCTCCACCGTCCACCGCCCACCGCCCACCAACAACCGCCCAGCATTCACCGTCCACGCCGCACCGCCCACCGCCCACCCTCCACCGTCCACCGCCCACCGCACACCGCCCACCGCCCACCGCCCACTGCCCACGACCCACCGCCCACCGCCCACCACCCACCGCCCACCACCCACCGGCCACCGGCCACCGGCCACCGGCCACCGGCCACCGGCCACCGCCCACCGCCCAACGGCCACCGGCCACCGGCCACCGCCCACCGCCCCCCGCCCACCGCCCACCGCTCTCCGCCCACCGCCCACCGCCCACCGCCCTCCGCCCTCCGCCCAAAGCCCGCCGCCCACCGCCCGCCGCCCACCCCGCACCGCCCCCCGCCCACCGCCCACCGCCCACCGTCCACCGCCCACCGCCCACCGCCCTCCGCCCACCGCCCACCGCCCACCGCCCTCCGCCCACCGCACACCGCCCACCGCCCTCCGCCCACCGCACACCGCCCACCGCCCACCGCCCACCGCCCACCGCCCACCGCCCACCGCCCGCCCACCGCCCACCGCCCGCCCACCGCCCACCGCCCACCGCCAACCGCCCACCGCCCACCGCCCACCGCTCACCGCCCACCGCACGCCCACCGCCCACCGCCCGCCCACCGCCCACCGCCCACCGCCAACCGCCCACCGCCCACCGCCCTCCGCCCACCGCCCACCGCCCACCACCAACCCCCACCACCCACCGCCCACCGCCCCCGCCCACCGTCCACCGCCCACCGTCCACCGCCCACCGGCCACCGTCCACCGCCCACCGACCACAGTCCACCGTCCACCGCCCACGGCCCACCGCCCACAGCCCACCCTCCACCGCCCACAGCCCACCGGCCACCGCCCACCGTCCACCGTCCACCACCCACCGCACATTGCCCACCGCCCACCGCCCACGCCCACCACCCACCGCCCACAGCCCACCGGCCGCCGCCCACCGCCCACCGCACACCGCACACCGCCCACCGCCCACCGCACACCGTCCACCGCCCACCGCCCACCGTCCACCGCCCACCGCCCACCGCCCACCGCCCACCGCCCACCGCCAACCGCCCACCGACCACCGCCCACCGACCACCGCCCACCGCCCACCGCCCACCGCCCACCGCCCACCGCCCACAGCCCACCGGCCCCCGTCCACCGTCCACCGCCCACCGCACACCGTCCACTGCCCAACGCCCACGCCCACCTCCCACCGCAAACCGCCCACCGCCCACCGCCCACCGTCCACAGCACACCGCCCACCGCCCACCGCCCACCGTCCACCGCCCACCGCCCACCGTCCACCGCCCACCGCCCACCGCCAACCGCCCACCGACCACCGCCCACCGACCACCGCCCACCGCCCACCGCCCACCGCCCACCGCCCACCGCCCACCGTCCACCGTCCACCGCCCACCGCACACCGTCCACCGCCCAACGCCCACGCCCACCTCCCACCGCAAACCGCCCACCGCCCACCGCCCACCGCACACCGCCAACCGCCCACCGCCCACCGCCCACCGCCCACCGTCCACCGCCCACCGTCCACCGCCCACCGCCCACCGCCCACCGCCCACCGCCCACCGACCACCGCCCACCGACCACCGCCCACCGTCCACCGCC